CTCGTCACTCATGCAATAGTGAACTTGCGATAAGATCACATTAACCAATTGATCCCTGATGACAGTACTATACACTATTGATTAAGGGACGTTGTCTATCATGCTTTGGATGTCCGCGCTATGTATCCGCGCGTGGTTTTGTCACTATATATCGTCTGAGTAGTGGCACATGGTGTGATGGTTGGCAGGGCGTTTCTATACAGGCTACTGCGGGATCATCGATTGTACACAGGCCTATTACAGTAATAACTTTAGACATGCACATGAGCGTTGTTAAGGCCATGTTACATGTGTGACATCCTATCTAAGCATATCTCTATAAAGCGTTACTTCAATAAGGTCCAAGCCCTGCTTATCTAAATCTACTGCCATAATGGGGCATGACGTAATTGCACATACAGTGCCCCTCAATCTAATAGATCTTAGCATAACCCATACCGTTAACTCACATGGCATCCGTTAGGTATTTACCAACTATAGAACAAACCCCGGGGGGGGGGGGTGGGTGGGGGGGTGAACCAGATTCCGATGGCCTGGATACTCCCAATTATGACAACTGGACAAAAACTCATCTCGTATTTACCGAGTGACCACTATTAGTTACGATACAAATTCGGACACCAAATTCGTTGCGATTTTCACCGCCTATAGAGAAGGCTCAACATTTTGCTGTCAACCACAAAAATGCTCAGGGCAAGCACTCCCCATTGTACACGGCCAGAAAGCACCATGACACCATGACACCTGTTGTGCAACTGACACACCCTTAAGTGGCAATTCAGCTCCTTGTAGCTAAACACAAAACTCCTTGGCATTCTAATAAGCCTCCCGACTCAATAGCTTGATCAAATTCTCTGATTAGCAATATTTACGGCTTCCTAGACACCTTCTTATAATACACCCAAATGAATGCACCAGCCAAAGAGCGCACGAACAAAAGCAACCAGCAAGTCACAACGGGCCGCATGCAACGAGCCCACTCAGAACCGTGTCGTCAGAAGATCTTATTTCCTTCTTCTGCTCAGTGCTGAAGTGGGCATGTGAGGGTGCATGACATGGTGGCCTACGAGCCGCCGCGGAATCGAAAGAGGAATTGAAGACAATCCACCATCCCACATTGTGCACCCTTTCCGTGCTTAACCTTGGTAGACCCAAAAACCCCCACCTACATAAATCATTAACATAACATACCGACATCGAGATCCACCTTCAAAATCGGATCTTTCGGCCTCACAGTCGAGTACGAGACCCACACGCGCAACCCTTTGCTGCTTCCATCGTACTCGATCCACGCGTTCACCGAGTCACCGCTTTTAAGATCCACTCCGACGCTTCCCAAGTCGCTAACTTGAGCCGAAACAACGCTGTTTAAGTCCAACCCCACATGGTTTCCATTAATGTCGCTGAATTCCACGTCCATCAGGGTGTCGAATTCAACAGCGACGAACCCGCCGCCACCGCCTGTGGCGGCGGCGGGGTTTTGCAGACCGAGGAAGCCGCCGGAATCGCCGACAGCGGTGGAGTCCGGCGAGACGACGAAGGCGAGGCCGCCGCCGACGGAGGATGGATTGAGGTTGGTGACGAAAAGGAGAAGAAAGGGAGAACGCTCCCAGAGAAGGGGACCCTTTGTTTGCCGGAATCTGATGGGGTCAGAGTAAAGCGCTCTGCCAGCAGCGAGTTGGGACGGCGGGGTCACCGGTGAGGCTGACGGTGTTGTTGTTTCAAATGGGGCAATGCCGAGAAGTTTCAGTGTACTCATGGTTAAGGTTCCAAAGTCAAACTGGGTGGCGAAGACAGAAGAACAGGCATTGAGAAAACACAGAAAGACGATGAAGAAGGGCGTTTGAGGTGGCGGCATTGGGGAACGAAGATGGGTGGTCTGATTCGGTGATGCCGAGGAAACAGTGAAAGTAATGTTGTTAGAATGATTAAGGATGTTGTCTTTGTTCTTGACGAGTTTAATTACCTTGAAGGGGTGGGAGTAATGGTGCTGAGTGTGTTTTTGTTACGTTGTGTATAATTGATTGAGTTCCAAATGCAGAAAAGAAGTATGGGGGAAAGTGTTGAACGGAAGAAGGAAACAAAGGAATAATAATGGCAGAAAATTCAAAGGAGAGTGTGGAGCAGACAGTGTGTGAGAGGTGGGTCTGCACTTTCTCGCACTCATAACGGTTATGTGTTTCACCCTCACAATAACAATTAAAAAATGTGTACAACAGTGCTTTCTATTTTTCTCTAACAGTTGAAAAACAGGGACAAATGCATAGTTTACGTGTTGTTGTAAAAGAGTTTCATAGTTAGGTGAGTGATATCATAATGTAGTTTGAGTTTTGGCGTAAATATATCATCATGACTCAGGAAATAGTGATGCCTCTACTCGATTAGGTGGTTGTTAGATTCTGAATCAGTCTTCTTTGGTGATAGGTAATGTAAAACTTTCTGACATTCCTACTTAGAAACAACACACGTATATACCATACATGTATACATATACATGCTTATATACATATATACATATATATATATATATATATAATATATATATCTATGTTTTAGTAAAGTTGACCACAACACTGCCCACCGCGCTTCTTTTCCCGTAAAATGATCGAGAATACTGTTTTGCTATTTCTTTTTTTCGCTTCCAACATCTTATATTTTTTTATAAAGAGGTCTATTTTTTTTTTAACTTAAATTTTTACATGTTTATTGTAATAATGAACTATTAAGATAAGTGCAGTATGATCCTAGTTACTACAAAATTTGAGTAAGAATCGTAATTATAGTAACTGCATTAATAATTAGCAATTGACAAAGATAACGGCTTCGGATAAAAAATTGACACAGTCATCGCCCATGAAAAAAGACAATGACATGAGCGTGATTCGCTACTATCGTACTTATGTTCTTTCTAATTTTAATGAAAAATCTTCTGTTCGAATAGTGCAGAAAACAAGTTAAATTAGATTAAAAAATTAATAACTTATGAGTCAGATTAATGGTTTAAATAGACCTAAGTCAAATTAAATAATTTATAAAAAACTTTTAATTTAAAAATTAGAAACTGATATTTTTTTATTAAAGTATGTGATATAGTTTATACATCGAATAAGAATATTTAAAAATTAAATAGAAAAAATATAAATAATGTGTTTGTCATTTAGAACTCAACAGTCAAAGAAAAAAAATTAAAGGGTAACTAAGATTTCATGTTTGAATTTGGTAATTTGAAAAGGAGATGGAATAAATATCACAAATTGTTCTCATTGTTTTAGTCAATTTAAAAATTAAATATTATTCATTCTTATCAAAATAAGAGGTTTAGTTCAATTAAGTCTCTGTAAGCATAATTTTTTTTTTTTTAATGTACATTACGTAGCACATCACATCCCTTCTTGATGTGCCTTTTCTTTGATTGAATGTAAGAATAAAAGGAAACAAAGAATTGGACAAAACTACTTCTTATCTGATGATGAAAAACCCTCTTCTTGGGCACAAAAGTGAGGATTTTTACTTCAATACTAACTATAAATAATTTGAGTTTTGGATGTTGTAGTATTTTAAATGATGGTTCATTTTAGTTCTAAAAAATAGTTTATCTAATAGAGATAGCTTATTATGTATATTTGATTTAATAATATATTATTAATTGATGTGTAATTTTTAGTCATATCCATGAAAAAAACAAAAACAGTCAAAATCAATAAATTTGAAAAAGAAAATTACACGTTTATGAACATAATTAAACTCAATCGTCTGGAATAATTTTCAATACGAAATTTGAAGAATTAAAAGAGAATAATTTATCAAAGAAAATCAATTGTAATACTTGAAATAATAGACATTAGATTAATATATTTATATAAAAAAAATTATATTACATATAACATTAAAATTGATGTAATTTCTTATTTATCTTTTATAGTGTACTTATCTGAGTCAATGAATATACCAAAAAATATATTCCAATGTATGTGTATTGAAATAAATATTCACTTATTAATTATAATTGATAAATTTTATTGAGTTTGATTATATCATGATATTATATTATATTTACATAAGATACTACATTATTGTTAATTATTATTATATATTTGAGGTCTTCATTTCATTAATATTATTTAATATCATATTACTTGTTTTATAAAATGAGCCTTAAGGTTCAAATATCCTATAAATACATCTTGTATTTCTTAGGGAATACTCACTTTAACACTCGTACTCATTCTTTTTTACTCATAAATATCCATAGTTTTTTATTGATTGAATGTTATGGGTCTTTGCAGTGGATCTCTCTTGTGTTCCAAACCTCAAAAGTACACATCAGGTTTCTTCTAGTTCACTCAAATCTTGTCACATATTGTAAGGATCACACTCAGATTATAGTAAGAACATTTGGCATCTACTATGGGACTTTAGTGAAAATTTTTCTTGTCCTCACTCTTCCATGGTTACCACCCAAACTCCAAGCCCAACTTTCTCATGAGATGAAATCCAACTCGATTAACCTTTTAGAATCAAATGTAGATGTTAATCCAACATAATGAAAAACAATGCAAGTGTTACGATTCTAAGCTCAAAGCCCTGCGCGCTCAACATCCGACCGCCTCTGAAGTAATACATAGAGTAAGGAAAACAAAACCTCTAAGCATTCATAGAGAGATTCATTGCTGCAATGACCACGATCCAAAACCTCACTCTGTTTATGATCATGCATTCCTTGATTTGTGGTCTACAACCCATACTCTTCTCAAATTCTCTTCACAAAATGACCTAACAACATGGATGATCTAAAAGAATGGGTGGCCAAATGCATGGTCATTGAAGAAAATAGGTTAAAGAGGACAAAGAAGCCCAATGTCCCATCGGGAGGAAAAAGTAGGAAGAACAATGTCGTTGACCAAACTATATCTGTAAGTGTGAAGAACTTAATGAACAATGTATTATCCTCGAAAGGTTGTAGTAGTTAAAATCAAATATTTTTACTCAGCAATCAGAACAATTCGGACTGCCAAAAAAAAATGCTAGCGCCTACTTCTGAGCATACAAGATACATAGCAAAGACAGTTGTACTTGGATTAAGCGTGCAACTTGGAGCTCATTACAGCTCTCAAGCCCTAACAACCTTTTCTTGAGATGATCCTACAAAAAAGTGTTCTTTACCATCAAAGTGTCATACCATCTAAGGGACCTCATCAAAGAACTTATCCACACTAGCGCTTTAGCCTGATTTATTTAGCAAGGAAAAGAACGTTGAGGCAAAATACATGACAATTTCTAAAGACAAGGTCAAGGTAAAGGATGCATCAATTTCATAGGACGAGGACGAGGCCGAGGATAGTTAGACCAACCCAACATGGTCCTTCAGATTCTAGGGCTCGAGGCCATCTAGGGTCAGCAGCCCACTCCCAATAACCAACCATTTAGAGTCAAATCATCCAACCTAATTCCGTCTTAGGCAAGAGGAAAGCGTCCACACCATCTTAGAGATTTTTAAGTACATGTCTGCCTCTTAAAGACATTTTCAAAAACAATTATATGTTTCCAAAATAAAAAGGAGCTTATTTTGCCAATTTTATAGTGCAAACATCTTTCAATATGTCACCTAATATACCACCACTATTATTATTCGCTATATTAAATCTCATGTCTTCAACACCCAGATTTATGCAAAATTGGACCAAGGTAACATCAATTCATCATTTATAGTTTTTTTAGTGATAGAATATGACCTAAAAAACACGTAGACTTACGAACAAAAAATACAAAGCATCATAAAAGACAAAGTTATGTGTTGTGAAAAATATGGGTCAACAGAATTATTTGACCAATCCTATCACAAACTTGTGAGAGTTGTAAGTTATATGAATCAAGCTTATGAGAGTCAATATGTTCACAATTTTAGTCAACCTGATCGTTCCACTTTACCTCCCACTTTACTGTCTCACTTTACCATTCCTAGTATAGATTACATTTTTTAATTTTAACATTATTTTTTTTCTCACATATTATCATAAATATGTGATGACATGTTGATATATTAATTTTCTTGTATAAAATTCACTAAATAATTAATGACAGATTTTAGTGGATTGTGACAGTGTAATCTCAATTTGCTTTTATACATAAATTAATATATTAATACAAATATTTTTTAATTTTAATATATATATATATATATATATATATTTTTTTTTTTTTTTTTTGAGCAGTGAAAGATCACATGAGAAAATAGTTGTATAAGGATGATAAAGTTTGAATGGAGTGATAATCCCGTAACAAGAACCTTCACTATTTCCATTGAGACAAAACAATACACTTTGATTAGTCAATTCTCCGCAGGCTTCAACTTCAATCTTAATATATATAATGTCACCATCTCCGATTACATTTTCAACTATACATTTTCTACAAAAACTTTGTCTCATGTGAACTCATTACTTGTTAAAACCTAAAGGGATGTGCATGTGCGGTGTTAGATGATGACCTCTTTTATTATTCTATTTTGAGTGTCTTAAAATCTTAAATTTCTATTTCTAAATTCATATTAAATTTCATATATTTTGACTAAATTCCTATATTATCTTAATTATTAATCAATAATTTGTTTCTTCAATTAATATAACAATCCAAATTCACTTTTTAAATGACTTTAATATTAACAAGATTAATAATGGATTCTGTGCACGAAATTAGAGGTGCCAAAACGGGTAATACAGCTCTACACGGTCTGATTCACCACCGGTTGGTCACTTAATGAGTGAACCCAACCTGACTCACTTATTAGCAAGTTAAAGAAATTTGAATCCGATCCGATCCACCACGGGTTGTTGGGTTAAACGAGTTGACTCATTGTCTCATTTAGTTATAAGTTTTTTTAAAATAAAAAAATTATAATTTTTTTAATTCAAATCTAAATAAACATCACTAAAATGATGTTAAACTCCAAAGACAATTCAAAAAAAATAATATCTACCATACAAAACGTAATCCAAAAACATGTACAAAAGCGAACAAATAAGTTTTTAATATAATAATTTTTGTATCAGTTGTCCATTTATAATATTAGAGTCTTGAATAGATAAATCTATAATATTTTTCCCTCTTGAAACATATTCTTTTCTCTTGAAACATCTTTTTTTATCACCATCTACAATATAATAAAAAAATGTTAACTAATAATATTGAAACACAAAATAATAAATAATTAAATTAAATTAGGTGAGTTGGTGAGCCAACTCGACTCATCACGGGTTCAACCCGGTGAGATGGGTTCTAAGTGAGTCGGGTTGAAAACTAACCCGCATAAAAAAATTACACTTTTTAAACACAACTCAACTAACCCGCATAAAAAAATTACACTTTTTAAACACAACTCAACTCAAACCCGTGATGAGTCAGATTGACTCGCGGATTACAACTCATTTTTACAATACTACATGATGTTCACAAGCATGATAGCCATAGATTATGTAATGAACCTCTATGAACTAATAATCATAAATATCTAATCCACCTATATTGTCATTTTTAATTTTGTATCAATTGAAATTCTATTTTAAGTCCACTTTAAAGTGAAATTTATTTTAAATTTCAATTTAAAAGATACAATGAATTATCTCTTTATAGCTTTAGTTAAACTTAATCCAACTTAATTTAAAAAAAAATTGAAATATTTGTTAAAAGATAATCATTTTTTCTTTTTTTATAAATTATTTAAATTTTTTACGAGTTTACTCAAAGAGTTGTAAGTTAGGAATAATGGGAAGGATTATACGAGTTTAATTCTGTCTGTTATTATTTTTAATACTCGGTAATATAAATTTTTTGTTGTATTTTATTTTTTGAAGTAATAAATATGTTCACATTTATATTTGTTCAAATACTTATTAAATAATTTTATAAAAAAATAAAAATAAAAATAAAAAATTACAATATGCAAGAAAGACTTATTTTTTTCTTAAATTTCAAATAACTACATATATATATATATATATATATATATATATTGTATTTGATTTACAAAAATAATTATTATTTAATATTTATATTAATGTAGTTTGACATTAATCTAAGTATTTTTTATGTATACTGGAACGAGATAAGATAATTTTATATTTTTAATTATAACTTGTGATATGAGATAGTTGACTAAGATGAATTTTTGCATGAATGAATGTCAGATACAAATTGATGAGTTGATCAATATTTTATATTTCTTTCATGTTACGGAATTGCAATTGGATTGTGTTTTCGTCTATTGTTAACTCCTTTAATCAATCTTATGTTTTATCCATTTTTATTCTCACCCGAACAAACTCTGACCACCCACAATTCTTGACTACACATATTGCAAATCGTGTGCATACATTACGGTCAACTGCAAAAAAGTGTGCCATGCTTTGTATAAAGAAAACAGAAACCCCATTCTTTTCAAAACATCTATGTAATAAACTATCTCTTCTATCATTTTAGGACCAAACATCATCAAACATGGGATCTTGCTCCAAAATAGAATCTTTACCACCAGATTGCGTTTCTGAAATCTTGTCACGTGCATCACCATTAGAGGCATGCATATGTTCACTGCTCTCCTCCACCCTTCGCTCATCTGCGGACTCTGACATGGTTTGGAGAAGCTTCTTGCCCTCTGATCACCAGGCCATTGTCTCCAGGGCCGTCAATCCTTTCTCCCTTCACTTCTCTTCGTACAAACTACTCTTCCATTATCTCTGCCACCCTCTTCACATTGACCAGGGCAGCAAGGTACGCAATCTGCCTCCTTGTTCGATTTCTCAAGACGCATTTCATATCTAATTCATTTTACTTTGGTTCTGTCTATGATTCATGCAGATATTCAAATTGGAAAAGTGTTCGGGTAAAAAATCTTTTATCTTATCTGCAAGGGAATTGTCAATAGCATGGAGCAGCCACCCTACGATGTGGTGCTGGAAACAACTTCCAGAATCAAGGTAATTTAATTAATGAATTTAATTAATTTCACGTGTAGAAAAGAGAGTTATATATAATTGCAGAATTTGCAGATTTGCGGAGGTGGCAGAGCTTAGAACAGTAAGTTGGTTAGAAATAGAGGGGAAGATGAGGACGCAGAATCTAACGGGAAACACGACATACGCGGCGTATCTGATAATGAATGTTTGTGATGAGGCATTCGGGGTTGAGTTTGTTCCGTCGAAGGTATCGGTTAGTGTTGGAAAGCAAGTGCAGAGAGGAAGAGCTTATTTGGGTTGTAAAGATGAAAAGAAGTGTACGATGGAGAGTCTGTTTTATGGGAACCGGAGAGAAGTGATGGGAAAAGCAGCGTTTGGAGAGGAAGGTGAAGTGATTTCGATTCCGTTGAAAAGAGAAGATGGGTGGATGGAGATTGAGCTGGGAGAGTTTTTCATTGACGAAGCTGAAGCTGAAGCTGATGAAGAAATAACGATGAATCTCAGGGAAGATGGTTATCAATTGAAAGGAGGCCTTATCATTGAAGGCATCGAAGTTAGACCCAAACACATCGTGTCATATCATGCCCTTTGATTTCTATCATGTTTTGTTTTCGAATGGTTCAACCATTGTTCAAAACCGTGTTCCATTCTCATCACAGTAATTAGAAGCAGCACACATACATGGATCAGATTATAATTATGAGAAATATCTCCACCTAATTAAAAGACGTGTATAATAATATCACTTGTATTTAACTTACACTTGTTAATCAGGGATTTTAAAAGATTACTTTACTGTAAAAAGATGTTGTGATGATTAACAATAAGACAGGCTTTTTTGTTTAAAGAATCTGTCAAACTCTAATAATATTCAAATCAGAATTTTGTAACTTTCAAAAAAGTCCTTTATTTAATAATAACATGTACATTACAAACTTTTAAATTTTAATAATATATGTTTGTGTAGATCTGCGGATCAAACCACAAATTTATTATTTGTTACTTTTAATTGATTTTTTTTATTCAAATCGAATAATGATATTAAAACTGATCGAGTTATTCATATTTTAATTAGTATGAAAAATATTTATTAATTATGAGTTTTTGGTCTATGTAAATAAAATATTAAATAATAGGTAATGGTACCATCATATATTTTTATATTCATTTGACATAAATTATAAGGACAAAATTATCATAAAAATATAAATTTTTGTATTGTTTAAAAAAAAAAGTAAAAAATGAATAAAAATAATATAAAATGAATATAAAAAATTTGTAAAAGATTTAAATGTATCAAACAATCATTAGTCTAAATAATATTAAATCAATATAAAATTTTGTATATCAACGGGCCATTGTACGGACTTTTTACGGTGCATACAAAAAGTGTTTGTTGTAAAGCAGTACATCAACAAATTACTTATAAATATAAAATAAAAGTTGATTAAGAAAATAGAAATAAAAAACGAAAATATCTTATCATAATACGCTGAAAAGGTATATTAAACTTGAGGACAAAACATTCATAGTAATTTAAATTTCATAATTTTTATGAAAAACACATAATATGATGTTTGATATTAAAATTTGCAGATCCGTTGTGATTCACCAAGTTCCAAATTTAGGAAAAGTGGTGGTTTGTTGGATGTGGTCATGTTCTGCCTCCATGTTGACATAGTTGTTGAGAGTGAAAAGAATGTCGTCATACTAGCGATATACTTCATTCATTGGACCATGTACGTCCACACAGTAATGTTATATATAACAACCATAACTTGTTCATTCTGGAAGCAAGTCTGCATTGAAAATTTTGATTTTCAGAAGATGGAACTTTTGCCCTACGATTGCTTTGCACACATTTTATCCTTCACTTCCCCTCAGGACCTCTGCAGGTCCTCTCTGGTCTCCTCCGTTTTGCAGTCAATGGCAGATTCAGATGCTGTCTGGGAGAACTTTTTGCCATCCAATTATCATCAAATTGTTTCTAGGTTCGTGACTTCCTCTTTGTCGTGTTCTTCCAAGAAACAAATGTTTTCCATGTTATGTAATCCACGACCAATTGACGACGGTAACAAGGTAAATTTCTTCAGTGTTTGTCCCTTTCTTTCACAGCATGATTGCAGATTGAAAAGGCTCATAGCAAAATCACAATTTGGTCCAACGTAAACTCTAATCGAAGAGTTTGCATATTTTACCAAAACCTTGTTCTTTTGCTAGAGTCTTTATAAGTGGCAACTCATGCTAGAAAATAAACGATTAATAGATTGGAAAATGAAGATGGTTTGATTGTTATTTACATATGATAACGATGGATAAAATGAACACACCCTACCCCACCACTGACACACACAACACATGGCCCTTTTATACTTACTGTATCAATTTTGTTTGACTCTGCAAGTTCATAATTATGATGACAACTGTTTCTTAATTTTGTAAAATGAAAAATACTGTATGATAGGTATAGTGTTAACGAATCAATGCAGCACCAAAATATAAGAAAAAAGTGCAGAAATTGCAACTACAATGGTTGCAAGCTCAAGGTTGATGGGGTATCCTCAGGCGGTGGAGCAAATATGAATTATCTAATTCATATTTGCGACACTGTCTGTGGTTGCCAAATCACCTTTTCTAAAAGTTAAAATGTTTACAGCAACAAGAAAATCTTAATGAAAATGATATAATCTAAAGTAAATTTTTTATAATTATAGAGACTAAAGAAAGAAGGTATGAGTTGAATCTATTTTGAATGATAGTAGTGACAAATGGTTGAGAAAAACAGATATTCTCCATTGAGAAGAGAAGTGGCAAAATCTGTTACCTGTTGAGCGCAAGACAACTTTCAATTGCATGGGGAAACAGCCCTCTCTATTGGTCCTGGAAACCCATCCGAGGTTCAAGGTTTGTTTCTGCATCGTCCTCATCATCATCATCTTCATCTTTCCAATTCTCAAACACTTTCTCTTTTAACTGTAACTTTCCACTTCAATTTCTTCATGGGTGTCATGTCATGTCATGTCATGTCCTAACTCTGCCAATACTTTCTGATTTTAAAATCACAACATAAGGTTTCCTAATTCAACGAAGGATTAGTATTCTAATGGCACATCATTACCAATTGCAAAGTCGTTTTTGAAATCTGTGCGTAGATTTGAAGAAGCAGCTGAACTGAGAACCATAAGCTGGCTGGAAATAAAAGGCAGCATAAACAGCGGAATGTTATCTCCCAATACTTTATACGGAGCCTACCTGCAAGTGAAAATCGCGGATCGTGCTTATGGGTTAGACGTGTTACCATCGGAGGTGTCCGTAGAAGTTGGCAAACATAAATCACAAGGAACCGTTTGCATACGTTCATGTCGAAAAACAGACACCAAATGTTCTTTTCGTTTTGAAGATGAAGAATGGTCGGAGATTGACTTGGGGAGTTTTTACACCTGTTCAAACGAAGAGGTCAGAGTGTGCCTCAAGGAAGTTAAAGGTGTGCACTTGAAAGGTGGCCTCATAGTTGATGGACTTGAAATAAGGCCCAAACACTTGGAAAAGGCCTCCGCTTATGGGCCCTAACTAGTTTACGTCTTTTTTTGTGCGTTGTGGGCCGAACGTGACACTTGTTTTGTTTCGTTTGGTTTTCCCATTTAGCCCTAGCAAGCGCTCTCTTTAAAATCCTCTTCTGCGGTTTTGCAATTGCAATTCTCATAACGAAAAATATGAAGGTGGGCGCCGTGGTGGTGTGTTATTGCATTTCCCAACGGTGATCCTGGTTATGTGTTCTTCACTTTTAGGGTTTTTCTTTTTTCACTTCGTTCTTTCGGATTTATTTTATTTGATTTTTTGTTGTAATTTTACTGAACCCTAATTGTTGAATGGTTTTGTACTTCCATTTGGTTTGTTTGCTGTGATGATAAATGTGAATCCCAGCTCATTATGAGACCTTTTTTAAGGTCTGGGAATAGAATTTTCCACATTTATCTGAGCTTCTCTATGAGAATAATTTTGTCTATGTAAATTAATCAAACTTTTCAATAAGTAAAAAATGAACATAATTTTTTTTTTAATATTAGAGTTTTTTTTTGTTTTTTACGTGGTTGGTTTGATTTATTTAAACTAAATTTAATTGTTTTCTGAAGAACTGATAACTGTTTGATTACTTCATTTAAAAGTGACGAATTGCAATCGTGCAGTTTGTTTTTTATACTTATCATATTACTGTATGTCATATTGGAGATTAAGATATCCCAACTTATAATTGAAAAACAGTGATAGATCTGTTTTCGTACAACATAATTTAATAACAAAAATGACATATTAATTAAATATATACATTAATATTTTAGTTTATATATATATAATATAAACAAACACAGAGGATGAGAAAAAAAAAATCATTTTTTTACGTGATTGAAAATAGTCTCGATTGAGTTAAAATGTTTTTGTCTAGAAGCAAGATTAAATGAAAATGAAACTAAGATCAGAAATGTAAAAATTAAAATCAGTTTTAACAACAAAATTAATTAGTTTCAAAAGTACTTTAATAATAGACTTAATTAATTAGTAGTTTGATTATTATATTTAAATTGATTAAGAGATAATCACATGTAAGTTTAATAAAATGTTTAATCAGTAATTTATTCTTTATATTTTTTTTTACTCAAATGAGTTTTACAGTTTTTACAATCAGACAATGTGATTTATTTTTTAATAATTTTTATAAATTAGGATAATAAATTCAAAAGTCACAATTCACATGTATATTTTTTACAATGTACTAAACAAAAATAAATATCTTAAATTTAAAGAAGACAATCCTTATGGAAGAAGGAATTGAAAAGGAAAAAGAGAGTTTGAATTTACAAATAATAACCTCTTAATGATATTAACTAAACTAGAAAAAAGATATTTGCTAAAAAGAACAAGAATAAAAATAGAAAATGAGAGGGAGAAAGTTACAAATTATAAATAAAAAATAATAAAATATAATCAATATTTTTTCTTATTTTTTTTATATCTCTAATTATATATGGAGTGAGAAATAAATGTTATAGTTCTAATCAACAATGATAAATAAATAACTTCTTTCTTAATTTATTTGATAAATAATTTGTTTCTCAAAATTCAAATTTTATTAGATACACTTTATAAACACATTAACAATACTACAAATTTCTCTTTATAATCTTCTCCTTTAACTCTTAACCTTTTATAAAAAACTCTTATTAAATTCATGAATTCATTTATATTAGTTATACTAATGAACACAAGTCAAATCAATATAAATATTTAATATATCGACCAAAATATAACCAATTCATATATAAATAAATACATTTCATTGAAACTTTTGTTAGACATCTCTTTTGCACGTGTTTTTAGTTATGAATGTATATCACTAATGTTACGTGCAAGAAGTAAGTCCAACAAGTAGTGATAGTAGAATCAGATGACATCTGTCACAATACCACGAATAATATATAATAAGTTTGATGGTAACAATGAGATGGAATGTCCATCGTATCTTGGTTAATAAAGAAAGTTTCATAGATGTCCTATATTTTGAGATGTTTGTTGGATTAAGCATCACAATCCACTCTCTTAAGCCTTTCGATGGAATCCTAGTTGTGTTTGACAGAGATTTGATAGAAATAAGGGGTCATGGGTTCACATCACTTTTGGCTTAAAAGACTATCTTGATTAAGTATTTGGTGGTAAATACTCCATCATAGTATAACATCTTTCTTGGAATACCATCTTAATGAATTAAGGGTTGTGGTGTCAACAATTCACCTAAAGATAAAATATCCTACAACCAAAGATAATGCTGAGATTATTAAGGTGGACCAACAAATCACAATAAAGTGTTATGAAAGAAGCCTAAAAAATTGTCAAACATATATCACGAGTCAATATGAACACGAAATCCTTCTTGATAAATTGGACCAAAAGGATGTATTAGAGGATTGACATTTGCAATCCCTCAGAGAAATTAAGAAAGTTCTTTAAAATATGATAGACTTATGAAAATTAAAACGAACCTAAATAGTAAATTGAAAGCACAGGTCATCTTTGTGTTATGAGAAAATATGAGAACTTTTGCTTGGTCAACTTTTAATATGTTAAACATTTATAAATGACTTATTATCTCATAAGTTAGGTTTGGATCTTATAATTATATCTATATTCCAATATTTACAAAGATTTTCCAAATAGAAGTAAGAAGCCATTAAATAATAAACTTATAAATTTTTAATAATGAATCACACCTAAAGAGATATAGTATCCAACCAAATTGGTTACAATTGTTATGATTAAGAAAATTAGGAACCATGTACAAATTTAACGAATGTTAATGAAACTTGCCCAAAAAAGTTTATATATTTTCTCAAATATCAATTGTCTAATCAATAAAATGTGTTTAAATGTTAATTTCTAAATTTTATAAATACCTATTCAAAATACAATCAAATACAAATACACCTTAAAAAAAGTAAAAATAAGACGACATTCATGATCAATACGACAAGTTGTTAATATAAGCACGAGATAGTATGGGCTAATATACAAGATCTTACAATTAATGCTAACGAAAAATATATAAAGGATGATATGGTTTTAAAACCTTTAATTGATGAACAAACATTTAATCGACTAGATTTTTTTTCTTTCAACCATAAGAAAAATAAGCTAAGGTTGAATCAACGGAATGTTCTTTAGGTGCCCTAACAAATTCTTTTAGGTTTAGACCAATCAGTATTTAGAAAATACCTCCTAAACTTGGAAAGTAAAATAAAGTAAGAATTGTAAAATTAAAAGTGAGATTAAATATAATTTAATCATTCCTCCCGTCTTAAATTGTTAATAGATGACAAAATGAGAAGACTAATTTTGTTTTTCTTTTTTATATTAAAAACAAACTTCAGCATACAAGTATCGTTGAATCCGAAAATTGGATGATTCATCCATGTGATTGTGTATGTTCAAGTTTTGTACAGAGCAGAAAGGGTCTAGAAAAGAAAAACAGTACTAGAACATGGCCTTAGCTGAAACGGAAGAAAGCCACGCAGTGTCCCAAATCTGATATTTTCCATTGCCATTCTATTCACTATCTTTCTGTTCCCCTTGTCGATTTTGCACTCAAACTCTGACAAAATCACTTCAAAACAATGAACCCTGAGAAATCCCGCTGCAGGTTACGACTTCGCAAGCTCTCCAAACGGACCCACCACCCTCTTCTCCATCTTCGCCTCCTCTTTCTCTTTGTTCCTACCTAAATCTCTTCCCTTCAATTCCACATCAAAACAAAAATCACTCAAAAAATTAATTTTACAAATTATCAAATTTTCTGAAATCGTAATGTTGTCGGAATCTGTTCTCTGCCTCATGACCGAGGACCTTCTCATCCGGCTCCTGGAGAAGCTCGGGCCGGATCGGAAACCGTGGAGGCTGGTGTGCAAGGACTTTCTTCGGGTCGAGTCGGTGAGCCGGAAGAGTATTCGGATCCTCCGAATCGAGTTCCTGTTTGGGCTGCTGGAGAAGTTCTGCAACATTGAAACGCTGGACCTGTCGCTGTGTCCGCGGATCGAGGACGGAGTTGTGTCGGTTTTGCTGAGTCAGGGATCGGCGAGTTGGACTCGGGGACTCAGGAGGCTCGTGCTGAGTCGCGCCACCGGGCTGGGCCACGCGGGTTTGGAGATCCTCATTCGGGCGTGTCCAATGTTGGAGGCTGTGGATGTTTCCCACTGTTGGGGCTATGGGGACAGAGAGGCCGCGGCGCTATCGTGCGCCGCGAGGTTGAGGGAACTGAACATGGATAAGTGTTTGGGAGTTACTGATATTGGGTTGGCGAAGATTGCTGTGGGTTGTGAGAAATTGGAAAGGCTGAGTTTGAAGTGGTGCTTAGAGATTTCTGATCTCGGGATTGATCTTCTTTGCAAGAAGTGCCTGGACTTGAAATTTCTGGACGTGTCCTATCTCAAGGTTTGTTTCCTTCTCTTTCAAAATGATTCTATATTATTGAAGAGACAGAAGCTGGATGGAGGAGAGGGATAGGGAGAAAAGAAAGAAGGTAGAGAGGAAAAGGAATATACATGATGAGGGATTAAATGAAGAGACAGAAAAAAATGGGATGAAAATGATAGGGATTAGAAAGTGGGTGCATGAGTATAATTTTTCCATTGACAATGTGCATAAAAGGAGGGAGAGAGAAATGGTGGATGCTAGAGTCTTATTTTTAGGTGAAATATGGACTATCTTTGGCTTTAGTCAAATACTAGGTTTTTGAGATATTGAGATTCCATTTAATAAACTTTTTTTAGGATGTTATTCTATACGCACTAACGGGAAGATTGAATTCTGATCATATGTCCGAGGGAATGATTATCTGTCAATTGTACCAAATTTTGGTATAAAGATTTGAGTCTTGTGCGAAGCTTTATGCACTTTTTTTTTTTATTGAAAGTTGGTTGAGGTCACAAAGTTGACGAAACGGGATAGTGACTTCAGCAAACCACTTCATTCGCTATCTTTGTTATTGGTTGTACGTTTTTAAATCCAATTTCTGATTCCTGAAGGGTTTTGAAGGAAGCACCCACTAAATTCTTCATGTGATTTGAATAAGTCACCCTTGTTCGTTCTTGCTTAGGGTGATTGTAGAAGAGGTAGACATTATATTTTTGGTTTACAAAAGTTGAGAGCAATCGGACTCAATAGTGTTGTAAAAACAAGTTTCTTGACGAGTTATGTTAAACGTACACCCAGCTTGAGAGGTGGAAAAAAGAGAGAGAGAAAGGAAAAGAGAAGGTAAAGAGAAGAAGTTACATATGTCATAAGTAATGGGATGAAAATAAAGAGACGGATAGGAAGAAACTGGAGTGGAAAGGGAATGAAAGGAAATATGAGTGTATGTTTATAATCATTGTTCTTTGACTGTGGATAATACACTACAGTACTTGTGTTTGTGGTGTTGTTCTTAACACCATATCCCCAAGTCAGCATATGTCAATGGCGTTATGATTTTCTGTTTTCCATCATTACCTTAGCTAACAATCCGCCTGAATTGATTTGTGAGTTTATTTCTTCTTCAAATTATATCTTTTATGTAATTTAAATTTTTTGAATCATTAGGTAACAAGCGAATCTTTGAGATCAATAGCTTCTCTGTCAAAGCTTGAGGTTTTCGTTATGGTGGGCTGCTCTTTAGTGGATGATGGCGGATTACGGTTTCTCGAAAAAGGATGTCCACTACTTAAGGTAATTTATTTCTTATAATTCATAAGCTATGCAATAATGGTTAAGAAAAGTCATAAAGTTGACTACGAGGATTCTCTGGAGCATAAACATAGAATATGTCCATGCATGCAGGCTATTGATGTATCGAGGTGTGATTGTGTTAGCTCATCCGGTTTAATCTCTGTGATTACCGGGCATGGAGATCTCGAGCAGTTGGATGCAGGATATTGCCTCTCTGTAAGTCTATATCTAAAATTTATGGCCTGTTGTGTACCTTAGTTTATTGTAATAAGTTTTACATACACTAACATGTCAGGCATTTTCGTAGGAGCTTTCAGCACCTCTTGTTAAATGCTTGGATAATCTAAAACAGTTGAGAATAATTAGAATTGATGGTGTTCGAGTTTCTGACTTCATCCTCCAGACAATGGGCACCAATTGCAAGTCTTTAGTGGAACTTGGTTTAAGCAAATGTGTTGGGGTGACCAACAAAGGAATTATACAGCTATTATCTGGCTGTGGCAATTTGAAGGTGCTTGATTTGACTTGTTGTCGGTTCATCTCAGACGCAGCCATCTCTACTATAGCAGACTATTGTCCAGACCTTGTCTGTCTGAAGCTAGAATCTTGTAATATGGTGACTGAGAAGTGTCTTTATCGACTTGGATTAAATTGCTCGCTGCTTGAAGAGCTCGATCTTACTGATTGCTCTGGTGTTGATGACATAGGTAAACTATGCAATTATACCTGTACATAATATATCAGTTTTATTCAAATCTTCAAAGGGTTCTGATTAATTTATTTCGAAATTTCTGTTTCATGCAGCACTAAGATATCTATCAAGATGTTCAAAACTTGTAAGACTGAAGTTAGGATTATGCACAAACATATCAGACATAGGGTTGGCACACATTGCTTGTAACTGCCCAAACATGACTGAACTTGATCTCTATCGGTAATTGAAACTTAAAGTCAGCATGATTAATTGCCTATTATTCAGTGAAATTTTGAACAGTGTTGTTATGATGTTCAGTTCATTTTGTTCTATTATCACAGCTGTGTACGTATTGGAGATGATGGGCTGGCAGCACTGACGAGTGGATGCAAGAGGTTGACAAAGCTCAACTTGTCATATTGTAATAGAATTACTGACAGAGGGATGGAGTATATCAGCCAGCTTGGTGAACTATCTGATCTGGAGTTGCGTGGGCTTTCAAATATCACAAGCATTGGTGTAAAATCAGTTGCAATAAGTTGCCAGAGATTGGCAGATTTAGATTTGAAGCACTGTGAAAAAATTGATGATTCAGGTTTCTGGGCCCTTGCTTTTTATTCACAAAACCTGCGGCAGGTCAGTTTTGCTTACTTTTACTCAATCAAGTTATCAATATTCTGGGTCTTTCTGAGATCTGACTAATACAGTAAGCTAGCCTCTAAAAAAATACATTGTATGAAATTTATAAGTATTACCTCAAGGAGCATAATTGATACTCATCTCAATTTTTTACTTCATTATAAACTGTAACATGGTTTGATCTAATTGACAAATTCTAAACTGTAATTCCCCGAAGAGCAAAGAACCATTGTTTGGATGATTGTCTGGGCTCACCACAATCCTTCTTCAATTATCTTGTTTGTTGTCTCTTTCCATGCTTTTGTAACTATACACATTTAAATTTCATTTATAAATTCTTGTACTTCCAGTCACTGTTAGAGTCTCTATTTTTAGCAGTTGGTTAAGTAGTTATCACCAAATTAGTTAGCTGATGACAGCTACTACTAGTTAACTAACTCTAAAAATAGTTTGAGTGAACATGAATGAAAGCTCTCTTGGTTTTGACAGAAAACTGTAATTTTTCTTCTCTGTTTTTTCTGTATATCAAGAAAGTCTCGAGGTTCTTTCTGTTATAGAACTTCCTGAAGTTTGAGATTCTTCAAGCTCTTTAGTTCCTGATATCTTGTGTTCTATTAGATACCGTATCAGTCACACGTTTAGTCCATCTTTTGTCCTGGTCGTAAAAAGAAGAATATATTTAGTTTTTTTTTCTTTCTAGGAAATCTTTTGTTCTTTGGTGAAGTTTCTACCATGTCTTCCTTCAAATATTACTCTTATTCAGACCCATTTTGAATTAACATAAAGCTGGATGTTTCTACCATGTCTTCCTACAAATATTACTCTTATTCAGACCCATTTTGGATTGACATAAAGCTGGATGTTAATGATAATAACTGTTGTATAGAAAATTCTAATTAAGGCAAATGAAGGAAGGAAAATCATTTGTCGAATATCTATTGTTTGGACGATACCAACTATCTTATTTAGAACCCTTCATAATTTGGAGTCGTGTGCAATTAATCTGATTTTCTATTTGGCTCCGCTTCTCGTTATCATATTACAACTCTTAGTCTTGCATTTTAAAAGAAGTTGATGTTTCTTACTGGCTTCAATAATCTTTTATTTCCTTTCCAATTGAAACTGGTATATGCTCTTCAAAATTTAATCTTTGAAAATGTGTTTTTTTGTTCACAAGCGGTTTCTTCTCCCCCGTAATGTTTTCTATAATCAAAGCAAAGCTTCTACTTATATTTTGTTGGAGTGCATATGTAATTTTTTCTTCAAATAGGTTAAGTATTGACGTTTGTTTACATGAAAACTGGTGTTAGGATTATGGATTCCAATTCTAGTTTCTAATTCGACATGGTGGTGATGATGGCAGATAAATATGAGCTACTGTATTGTGTCAGATGTGGTGTTGTGCTTCCTTATGGGTAACCTGAAACGTCTCCAAGATTCCAAACTGGTGTGTCTCCCTAAAGTCACTGTAAATGGATTGGAAGTTGCCCTTAGAGCATGCTGTGGTCGGATTAAAAAGGTTAAACTGCAGAGATCCCTCAGGTTCTTGCTTTCCTCAGAAATGCTGGAGACAATGCATGCAAGAGGGTGCAAGATCAGATGGGATTAGCCACGCTATTACTCTATGTACTTTCTTTTCCTGGAAGCCACGCTGCTTCATTAAAGATCTTTTTGATCCTAAATTTTAAATCTCTTGCATTCTCTTTTCCTTAGTCTCTAGTACCTTAGTAAGAGGTATACCAGTCCAATTAGGGGACATTGATAGATTTCTAGACAAGGTATTTTTTCACCTTCCAAAGTTATATTCTCTTGGAATTAAATTTCATCAAATCTTATCTGTTACACTTACAAGACTTATTCTGTTATCAATCCACGTCTGGAATCAAAAGTAGGAGATAACTTCAGTGTATAAATAAACTCGATGTTCGTTTTTGAAAAACTTACAGTTTCTGAAAAAAGAGAACATTAAAAAGAGTTGTACCAACTAAAAGGCCAGGATTTAAATCATTATATTTAGTGTGATTTAAAATAATAGGGAAAAAAATATTGAGGATTCTAATTCACATTTTAGGGATTTTTTTTACAGTTTTTCAATTTCAAGAACTAATGTCATATTAATATTTTACATATCAAGATCAAAATGATGCTTTATATATTTATGTTTTAACATTAGAAACATGATTTCTAAAATGCCATTTTTGACATGCACTTTATTTCTATACTCTACCTTTCATGAAAAAAAAGAAGAGAAATTTAACTTCGTTTTTTTAGCAAAAAGGAAGTCTAAATGTGGACGTAGAAAATGAAGTAAATAAAAATTTTCATTTTCCACCACTGGCCAGCCACGAATTATGGAACTTTGATTAATATTACCAAATTGTAAAGTTCAAGACTTTTTTCAATAATTTTTTAGTGAATATTAACATTGATGGAACAGTTCTTGTATAAACTATTTTCTAACAGTAAATTTTTCTCTCTTTTTTCCATTATTGTATCTTCCTTCATGCCATTTTTTAAATATTTTGATATCCATAAGTAATATAATTTGAATACGAGTATTAAAATATAGAAAAAGAAGTTTGTTTTTTGACAGATAATATTGAGTTTTCTTCTTCTTGTTTTACCCAGGTTAAGCCTTGGGCTCATTCCTTTTTCGGCTTTATAAACTGGCCTTTGGGCCTTGTTTTAGTGTAAAGTGAAATACAAAGTTTTCTCTTTGAGCGATGCTCCCTCCACCACCACAATACGCTCCTGTACCTCCTCAAATTCTTTTATTTTCAATATTATTCTTAGGTTAAAAGTTAAAACTTTTTTACTTTTATCACAAATTTTTAATTTATTTTCCAAACCCTAATTTTACCTTATTCATATTCCTTGAACACAACAACTGCACCCCATCCCATATCAACTCAATCTTCTTCTACCTAGTCGTATCCACATCAGATATGAATTTTTAATTATCTTTTGTTGATGAAGTACATAAAACTATCATGTATTCGATTATACCTAATAAATATTATTCAATTTTAGTTAATTAATCTTTTCAATTTCAATGATGAAAATAAAATTAATAATAAAAACCTATTAATCATTTAAGAATAATTTAAAATTTGTGTTCACATATTTCTATTTTTTTTATTTAGACCTAGAAAATTGAATTTATTTTGTAAGAGATTAAATTTTTAGAATTTATATTTTGTTGCAATTCATTTAAATTTAATTTCTAAAAAAGTTAAATTTATTTGCACTAATATTTTATATAATTTGATTTGAATTGTACTTAAGTTATTTTAATCTAATCTAAGTTTATATTTTATTTTTTAAAAATTAAAAAATATAAAATATATATATGAATATCCAGTGATATAAAAAAATATACTACAATATTTTTTCAGATACTCAACGGATAACATGGTGACTAACAAATTTGTGAAATTATGTAGAACTAGGTAAGAAGATTGGGTTGACATGGGATGAGAGTGCAGTTGTTGAGTTTAGGAAATATAAATAAGGTAAAATTAGGATTTAAAAAATAAATTAAAAATTCGTGATAAAAGTAAAAAAGTTTTAACCTTTAATTTAAGAATAATTTTGAAAATAAAAAAATTTGAAGAGGTGCATGGACCATGCCCAGAGGTAGCAACGCTCTTTCTCTTTTTATCAGTTTTTCCCGTTTTAGGTTCTCTGTTTTCTCTTTATGTGTGTTCTTCATCTGCCATACTTCCGTTTTGTTTCTTCATTTGAATCATGATAAAATCTGATTAGACAATAGGAAAAAAAGTTTAGAAACATGTACTCTAAGGCTTTTTTTTTTTTAAAGTACCATTTATTATAAGTTTAAATTTGTTGAAAATCATAAAAAAGTTACGAACTTCACTTTTTAGATAAACGAGTCTTATTTATTTATGGTTTTATATCTTATAATAATTTTTAATTAATAATAAAACATGTTGTGAAATGAATGCAAGGCGATGGAAAGCAATCTGAACATGGTTTAACTCGAGTTTTCAATTACTAAGAAGCAAAGAATACTACTTTTGCTTGAGTGGTTTTGGCATTCATAGGCTGGCTATCCCCGTTTGTTTGTTTTGTATTCATCAAGTCACAGTATATACATTATATATAAATATATATATATATATATAGATGAACACTGTTGTTTTATGTCACTTAAGAGATTCATTTTTCATAGTAGAACTATACTTTTTTTATCAGTCATCAAATGTGTGAGAAGCAATGTTTTTTTCACCTCACTGCTGAGAGAATCATCTCGTCAAGCTCGAAGCATAGAACATCATGCCATGCCTCCAACAAAAGAAAGCATTAGAATAACTTGGGACTTTGTTCATAGAAAAAGCATAAAGCAACGTGAATGTTAAAACTCAAACAAAGATTCTGACTGCTACATTTTCTGCGTATAAATAAAAGGTTCTTGGAAAGACCAGAAGAGCATGGTTGCTATGTCTTTCTAGTTAGTTCTATGTCACATTATAACCTCCAAAAGATGATGACCATGCTTAGTTTCCTTTTCATTCTCGTGCTTTTACCCTCCTTTGAGGCTCTCTCATATGAAGGCATTCCCTCAGAAATCCAAACCCAAGACATGCAAGCATTGATTGCACAAGCATGCATGGACATTGAAAACCAAAACTCCTGCCTCACAAACATCCACAACGAGCTCACTAAAATAGGCCCACCAAGCCCCACATCGGTGATGAGTGCAGCACTCAAGGCCACACTCAACGAAGCAATGGTGGCCATTGACAACATGACAAAGATCACCACATTCTCCGTCAGCTACCGCGAGCAACAAGCCATAGAAGACTGCAAGGAGCTCTTGGATTTCTCGGTTTCTGAGCTGGCATGGTCCTTGGGAGAGATGAGGAGGATTCGCGCAGGAGATACCAACGTGCAATACGAGGGAAACCTTGAAGCCTGGCTTAGTGCTGCACTGAGCAACCAAGACACGTGCCTTGAAGGCTTTGAAGGCACAGACAGACGCCTCGAGAGCTACATCAGTGGAAGCTTGACACAAGTCACACAACTCATCAGCAATGTTTTGTCCCTCTACACTCAGTTGCATACCTTACCATTTAAGCCTCCAAGAAACACTACTACTGCGGAATCTGATGGAACCTCGGAGTTTCCTGAATGGATGACTGAGGGTGATCAAGAGTTGCTCAGAGCCAAGCCACATGGTGTTCCTGCGGATGCAGTTGTTGCTTTGGATGGGAGTGGTCACTATCGCTCCATCGCCGAAGCTGTTAATGCAGCTCCCAGTCACAGTCAAAGAAGGTATATTATTTACGTGAAAAAAGGACTTTACAAGGAGAATATTGACATGAAGAAGAAGATGACCAACATCATGCTCGTCGGAGATGGTATAGGCCAAACCATTATCACCAGCAACCGGAATTTCATGCAGGGATGGACCACCTTTCGAACGGCCACGCTTGGTATGTAACTAACTAACTAAATAACTACCACCATCATAACCATAACATAATTGTAAGATGTTTTCATGTTCATGGAAAATAACTGAAAGAAAAGTTGCAATTCATTGTGTAGCTGTGTCTGGGAAGGGTTTCATTGCAAGGGACATGTCGTTCCGGAACACAGCAGGGCCGGTGAACCATCAAGCGGTGGCGCTGCGTGTGGATTCAGACCAATCAGCCTTCTACAGGTGCAGTGTGGAAGGGCACCAAGACACGCTCTACGCCCACTCCCTGCGACAGTTCTACCGTGAGTGCGAAATATATGGCACCATAGACTTCATTTTCGGCAACGGTGCTGCAGTACTGCAAAACTGCAAAATATACACCAGGGTTCCACTTCCCTTGCAGAAGGTTACCATCACGGCCCAAGGCAGGAAAAGCCCACACCAGAGCACGGGCTTCACCATCCAGGACAGCTATATTCTCGCCACCCAGCCCACCTACTTGGGCCGGCCCTGGAAACAATACTCTAGGACGGTTTACATTAACACTTACATGAGTGGGCTTGTCCAGCCCCGGGGCTGGCTTGAGTGGCTCGGAAACTTTGCCCTCAACACTTTGTGGTACGGTGAGTACAGAAATTATGGGCCCGGTGCATCTCTGGTGGGCCGGGTCAGATGGCCCGGTTATCATGTAATCAAAGATGCCTCCACCGCTAGTTTTTTCACCGTTCAGAGGTTCATTAATGGTGACACGTGGCTGCCAAGGACAGGTGTCAAGTTCACAGCAGGTCTCACCAATTGAGATCATTTGATTACTATTATTTGTAGATGAAAAACAAATAAGTTTATCATATCCTCCATTTTTCAGATAAATAGCTGCACCATTTACTCTGATTGATGAAAGAGGAATATTTTTTTTAGTAGGTGGATGTTTAGGAATTAAGTTTGTGTAATATGTAATAGTAATTTGGAATTAGGTTTGGTGGTTTGTTATACTTTTATTGTACAATTTCCTCTAATAATTTTTCTGTTCTGTGACATTAATTATAAATTAAAGCAACCGTTCCATGTTGAGCATTGTTAGTTTCTTCTTCTTCTTTTTTTCATGGAGCATTATTTAGCTTTTTACAATATCCTTTCGTAGCAATTAATTAGGGTTCATGTGGGAAACACGTAATTTATAAAATACAGAGATAATTGCATTGGCATGGAGGTTCAACTTGCTCACTTTAAGGTGAGGCAAAGTGTCGTTTATTCGTTTTCCAAATTAGCCACGTGGAATCATCTTCTAAAAAGTGTTCGGTCTTATCCTCTTAACAAGTTTTTACAAGATTTCATAAAATTATTATTCTCCAATTTGGTCTCACTTTTATTATTTTGGTCTTGATTTGGACAAATTAGGATTAAAATTACAGATAAAAAAAGCCCTCGTTGAAAAGTCCATAGACTAAAATATCAATAAAAAAAGTCATCTCAATTCATGAACTTTTTTCTAAAAAAATAAATTTTGAATAAAAAATGTAGTTAATTTTTAATTTGTACAGATTTAAGTGTTTCTAATTTATTAAAAATTTATACAAATATTTTAATCAGATTAACATAAACTTTATAAAAAATTTCAATAATATATAAGAAGATTATAACCAGATAAAACGTTGAAATCCTTGACTAGTTAAACATATCTAAATTCTCTTCACTAACTAAACATATCTTTTGAATATATAAGATATTAATTTAATTTTATTGTAAAAAAAATCTTGTAGTAAGGTTAAACTCAACTTAACCTTAACCCCAATTAATTTGATATGAAGTTTTGGACACTGAAAACATATTTTAGCCCACTTGAAAGGATCTCCTAAAATAAGACTTTTTTAAGGATAGACTAGAACTAGTCCATAAACCATGAATCAAATTCACAATTCTAGTTTTCAATTCTTAATCTTTGTGTTTAAGTTATTATGAAGAGTATATATAAAGATAGTTTGATATTTAATGAAATGTTTAATAAATGTAAGTAACAATTAGTTTAAAGTAATAATTAAATTTTTATTTTAGATATTTATTTACTTATATTATTTTTGTTTGACTTTTATCTATATAAATTATCAAGAAAAGATTCAAACATGATTTCATCAGGATTTTGTTCTTTCTTTGTGTTTAATAATATTTAATTGTATACTTAAGTGAAGACTATGCTTTAGTTGGGTTGTTAAAGCATGCCAAGGATGAGTAAATTATATTTACAAGAGTTAATGCATGTTGAAATTGTTTTTACTTGAGTTTTTGTTTTTAAAATATATTATGTAAAACAATTTTTAAAGACCATTTCTATATAGCTTTAATTTTATATCCTTTGCCATTTATTCTAATTAACACTCCAAAGTTTATTATTAATTTTTCATTACATGAAAATTTATTAAAAAAATAAAATTAAAGAACAGAAAACAAGTTTATTGGTATAATTACTTCCTTCACGAAAAAACATAAAAAACTTTGAATTGTATATCCTTACAAAAATGCAAGCACTCGCGTCATCTCTGTCTAAGACTCTAAGGAATCACTCGTTAATCCACAAAATCGTGACAGACTAAAGAAGAATCACTCTCCAAATAAAGTCTCTAAAAGTTCTTTCTCCAAGTTGTTGATCTCTTGGTAAGTTTACTAATAGTCAACTGTAGTATAATGAGTTTTAAGTAAGAATGTTGATCCCACGATGAATAAAATTTGGTTAAAATAGGTAATTTATCTCAATTATCATATATACAAGAGTAAAAGCTAATTATTAATTAATTGTTATAAAACTATACTAAGTTTGCATAAAATTAATATTAACACAACAAGACAGTTAAAAAAAGTTTCAATAAGAGAAATTGTGATTGAATTTCATTTATCTCATTGGTTTATAATTTGAATGAATATCAACGTATAACATCTAAAAATACCAATAATGATGCAACACACAACAATCATTTATACTTATTCTTCATGTATAAATTCATAAGACGAGTTCTCTGAATATTGATTCCTTACATATCCAACAAATTATCAAACTTTATGTTCAAGGGTTATAAGCAACTGATATATTGAAGTTCATTCCTAGCATCCCAATACATCAAGTATTTTTGTTCAGATATATGATTTTCAGAAATACTTCTTAGTCAAATTCAAAAATCGTAATCAAGAATCTATTGATCAGATAAAATCAAACATTAAGAACAAAACAAGAATACCAACATTGAGTAAAAATGAAATATATGATCTCGCTCATGCCAGGTGTTTGTTGTTTAAGCAAAAGTGACAACAATTCTAGGTGAGGTCACTCTCGCTTAAGCGAGAGCATGGAAGAGGCTAACCCTTTGTCTTTGTTTTATTCATTTCTTCTTACTCTTCTAAGTCTTTTCCTTCTTTTGTCTTAAATTTCTTAGAAAATAAGTAAAATAAGAATAAAATGATTTCATTTAAATCAAGACGTCAAAATATATGATTAAATTTAATATTTATTAAATTAGGGAGAATTAATATCAAATAAATACAATTTAAAACAAATGTAACCAAAATTACATGTGAATTTTTTTTATATTTAACACTAATCACAAACATGCTTCAAAACATAAATAGTCCCATAAACTAAGTATAAAAGTTTGTATCCGTAAAAGAAAACTGAAAAACTATTTATATATATTCTTCCTATTTTTTTCTAATTAATTATTAAATTCAATATCAAATTAATATATTGATTTCAAGCTAAATTTAACTCATTCAATAATTAAGTTCAAGAAATTAATTATTGAATTTAATATAAATTAAATGATCTAATTTATATTAAACTCTTTTCAATGTTGTTGAAAGTATAGGTAAGTTTTAGTTATAACAATTATAATATTTTCTTTAGTTGATTTAAATTTATAATATATTCAACATAACATATATTATTAAAATAGGCTAAAATATAAATAATTTACCATTTTCTTTTATCATCGTGCAATCTAAATATGATCAAATTATAATTTAATATTAAATTAATAAAATTTAGTTTTATATAAAATTATTTATACAGTTAAAAGCACAAATACTATTTTATGATGAATTTTTTTTACTTTGTTAATATATTTTAAAATAACTCATTTTAATAAATGGTGACTTGCACTGATTTAAGGAATGAATAAGCAAAACGCAGGATCCTTAATTGAGAAACGTCCTCTCTTTCTGGACTTTATTTGCCTCTATAATTCTCATTATAATACCTTGCTTGCCTTTTCATCCTCAATCCATGTTTGTTTTTTCTTGTTAAACCAGTTTCACTTAATTCTACGTGTACCATAGGATACCCAATCCTCCAATGGTCGACCGGTGACTCGGGCGACCTGGTAACAGTTGAACCAATACGAGGCCTTCTTAAAGATGGTGTGTTGTCGATCACTTGGTCCTCGACAACCAAATAGTAATGTCGCGACATAACGTTCGCACCGCGCACACGACAAGTCACCTATTCATGTCGACACACAGGACGGTCGACATACAAGCGCTATATCGTAGCGTGCAGTTACAGATAAACAGTTACGCACAATCAGCTCAACGCCGCGAATCACGGAAGTAATTGACTCAGTATCAGCACACGATCTAGCAGTTACAACTTCTACACAGTCAAACTTCGATAACTGACCGGATTGCCAGGTAACGGTTTATTTTACTGTTTTAAATACACCCTTCACACCAGAAAAAAGGTACGTTTTTCCCCTGAGAGAAATTATTCTTATTCTTGATCACTTTGAACCAAAAGATTCAGGTGACTCCTTTTCTGACTTGAGCGTCGGAGTGCCTTTGCAGGTACCCAGCCCAACTTTTCCTAAGGAACAGAACATAAAGAGAGGAAGGAAGCATCGTGAAGGTGAGCATAAAAAGAAGCAGTTCAGTTTTGTTAGGTTTATATCTCGGCCTCCACACCCCTACAGAAACACTACGTAAAATATATTAACAACTATTATAACTTAAAATATACTATACATCAATTAAACATAAAAAAAAAAGAGCACTACAATTTATGGAGAGAGTAATCGGGCGACAACAAACATATAAATAAATTAATGATATGGAATTTCAACTATATTATTTAAGAATAGTAATAATGCTAGTTATTATCTATACAGAACATTAAAATGATGATGCAAGTTTTAAGAAAATTATAAAAGTAGAATAGTTGTGAAAGTTTTTATCTTGAGAAAGTCACATCTTAGATATGGCATTTTACTCTTTTTCTTTTTAATTTTAATACTGTATCAGTTTAGTATCACTTCAATGTGTGTTATACTTTTTTTTAACGTATTAATCATGATATAAATAAATTAAAGTAATTATGTCTTTGATATAATTTTAGTATGTTATAATTTTTTTAAAACAATTTATAATTGAAGTCGTGTTAATTTTTTTAAAACAATTTATAATTGAGTACGAGGTTGTTTCAATTCGTAACTTAAAAAATAATGTTAATTAAGTTTTTTTTCTTCCATAAAAAATAATTTTTTTAATTCAAACCTAAATAAAATTAAATTCAAATAATGTTAATAATATAACTTAAAAATAATAAATTGAGTGGATTCATGAACCAACTTGACTTGCAGTGGGTTGATAATAAAAAAAGGTTTAAACTCTCGTTTGTTTCTCGTATTTGTGTGTCAATCTCAAGTGGATCATCATTTTTTTTTCGGTCTCAATCGGATCCATAAACTTGTTAAAATGAGTCAATTAAGCCCTTTTCGTTAAGTTTTCATTAACGCCGTCTGCACATGTTGAGGAGTAATTTTTTTAGATCTTGTTGCATGCTGAGGTGTATTAATTTTTTTTGAATGACTTATTTGTACAATCAAGCATGAGACTCCTCCTCGCCCACCGCCCACTGCGCCGCACAATTTGGAGTAGCCACCAAGATAATGTTGTGGCTGTCGTACGACCGAGCATTATCACTGGAGCACCGTCAGGGGTCGCTGCTCCTCACCTCCTTCAACTTTGCCACACGCCCCCTCAGGCACACAATCTCCTCTGTCGCCGCCTCGATCTGCTG